CTGATCACTGTGAAGGCGGCGTTGGACGACAGCATGGCGCCTAAAGCAGTCGAGTCCTTACCGGCTCCTACCTCACTGGACACCTCGAGCCTGCAAAGGCTGCATATGGATGAGAGACAGACTTCACTGCGTGCTCATACTCCGCACATGTGCTGCCACGCTGCAACCCTTGGCTAAGACTGGTGCGCAGCGTTTGGAGACTGCACGCCTTGTGAGGAGGCGACCCGGCTCCCCGTAGGTTTCACCACTCCGGAAAGATTTTCGAACACACGACATGGGATAAGACGACTCCTTTCTGCTGGCAAGAAGCTGTATCAACACAGTATCGGCTCCACCAAACGCCTAGATCCTGCGCACAAACTCCCCGCCTTCTGCAAAGCAAGTCTTGATAAGCTGACACGTTCATGCAAGTCCGAGGCCTTGGGTCCTCGGTCCAAGAAGTGAACTGGCATGATGGGGAGTGGATAGTCTGCAGTGATCTCTCGCCTCGGAAGGCTTGGGTTCAGGAGATAACAGGCAGTTTTGCGCCGCTAAGACAAGCCCTCTTCGAGCTTAACTCGAGCCACTCAGTCATCTCGAAGAGTTGGTCGACGCCGGGTGCGACAAACTGGTCCTTGGTAGTCGGAAGGCTGGAACCAGTAACATGGGTAGGTCCGAGCGGTGCGGCACCGAAATCAACTGAGGTCTGCTCGGAGTCCAAGCCGACCCCTGCCAAAGCCCGTGCAAAGAGGAAGGCACGAAGCCTTGGCTTTATGATGCCCTGCGAAGCTTTTTGCAGAGAGATCGTCTGACGTTTTGCCGAGCATCTTGTTGAAGTTGAAGCTTCTCTTCAATGCGGAATCCATCGGATCAGCATGCAGCAGAATCAGGCGAGGATATCGCTCTGGGGTAAGCTTCGCTGACGTCGTCATGCCGAAGTTCACCACAATGATCACCTGTAGAGCACGTGCAACATCTTGTTATGCCGTATCAGCCCAAGAGTCCGTGCATTGTTGCATGCGACTCGAAACCACTGTGCGTCACCCGCTTCATCCCGATTCCAGATCTTAGTATTTCGACTCGGGGAAGCGATCCCCAGGCGTGCTGGGGAGATGGTTGTAGATGGGATGGGGGTGACCCATAAAGCCTTCTTGAGGACGAGCCTTCTTGGAGAAGCGGTGTACGGATCGAACAAGCTCTTCTGTCATCTTCGCGTGCTTCCCGGATGGAGTGCTCGCGAAATAGTTGACATACGCCTTCGGCGTCCAGCCCCGCATTTCACCAGATTGGGCGAAGTGAGCCTTGTAAGCCTGAGTCCGAGACACGGGACGGGTGCAAAGCTCCGGCCTCTGCGCTGCGGCCAAGATGCATCCTTGAAACGCGGATCGACTCGAGCCTGCATCAATTTACGCATGATGTCCAGGCTCATCTGCCTGTCGCCTGAAGCGCTCCCATTGCAGCAGCTGCAATTGACTGCAAGCTGCCCGTGTCATGCAGGTGAATATTTCGCTGCCGGGCCACCCGCACGGGACTCTGCTGTTTCTGTCCAATCTTCAGAGCAAAACCTGGGCCCATTGATCATGCCTATGCTGCCTATGGCAATGGGAAACAAAAGGACATGGCCACCCCTTCCCGTTTGTGAACTGTAAACGAGCTCCGCCATGAAACGCCTCGACTGCCCGCCACTGGTTGCGGCCCCAGAGGCCGCTGTCCTCCAGCAGGTGCCAGCGTTGCGGCAAGCTGAGGGCACCCCAAACCCTAAAGGCCCTAAAAGCCCTAAACGGTCGCCTACTCCTGTGCTCCTTGGCCTTCTCAAAGATGTCGCAAGAAGATACTAAAGCCGCACCCTCAGCTTCCGCTTCTTCCGGGAGCAGCCACATGGGGTTCAGTCCTCGTCAGGGAGCGGTTGAGCGCTCCGGCGCCGGGCTGCAATGCTTCCTAACTATCTCTACTTCCCTAACAACACTCCAACAGAATATAGTACAGTAGCATATAGTAACTATAAGACGGCAACCACAACAGAATACAAAATATAATGCAGCGCGTGAAGAGATAATGCTTGATACCGCTTGGCACGAAGTTGCGAATTGAAACCCAACCGGTTGGAACATGCTACTCGTAGGACTGGGCGTACGTGGTCCTTGGTAGAAAGGCGTTCCCGGCGTCACCTGACATTCGCAATGTTTGCCGTCATCGCCTGGAAGAATATCGTTCAGGACCTGCAGGTGTGACATGCTCTGACTTGTGAAATCATTGCAAGGGCACAGGCATCCTCAAGGAACCTTTATGAAGTCAGAGTTGTGTCACTCAGATCCGGCTGGCCTGGATGCTGCACTTTACTGTGAGAAGTTCCCCTTGGCACCGCATGCAGAACGACCATCAGTGCTTGGCATAAGCCAGACCAAAAGTGGAGTTTCTGCATTATGGACATGGCTGATGTGCAACCATTTCCACTGCTTTCGTTCTGGGGTGGAGAATGTCGGGGGTTGTTCTTTATTCTGGTTGCAGAGTAACTCGAAAATTGCCTTGCGCTTCGCCCTTGCGCGCACGCGGATTCAAACACGTTCCTATCTCGAAGCCTTGATAAGCCAGGAGCAGGACTTTCTTACACTACTTGTCGCCATTGCGCGCGCTGGCGCCGTGCTGGTTTTGGAGCAGGTCCTAAACTTGCATCAAAAGATTACAATGCGCTGTTAGTCTACGGTCTGCTGCTAGTTCACGGTCAAGAGACGGCGGTTTAGAACAACTTTCTGTTTACGAGTTACTGGTGAGGTTCGCGGCTGAGCCCCAGTTCATGCCATGCGCCATGCAGACTGCCAATGTCGGCGGTTCCCTCCCGAGTCCAACGACAAAGTAAACACTTCGCACATACTACGTTACTACGTGGTCCCGGCGTCCCAGGCTCGGGTCGTACAAGCTCAGCAAACAAGTTTTTGGCTGAGCCATGTCATTGCCTGTGAGCCTCGAGCACCCGCGTATTTGGAAATGCAAAATCTGTGCCAGGCCCAGGTTGGAATCACAGCCTGCGCACGTGCGCACAACACCACCACAACCAACACCACCACCAACAGCCAACAGCAACAGCCAACAGCAACAGCCAACAAACAACACCCAACCAACAACCAACAACCACCACCCCCACCACCATCACCACCACCACCACCACCAACAACAACAGCATAAACACGTCACGAATGCACGCATGCATGCACACAGCCACCTCGGCACTTCAGATCAGTGTGCGTGTTCTGAATAGCTGCCAAAGATCCGGCTGCTTTCGGCTTGATGTAGAGCCACCTGATGCGCCAACAGGTCGAGCAACAACAAGTTGTTCCCGTCGGTATATGTCTGAAAAACACGTGATTCAGCAGCCACGCGACTTGTCGTTGTTGCCCCACCGCACTACACCATCACAGGTGCATTCCTACTCACTGCTCTCGAAAGGCAGGGCGACAAACGTGACAGCTGCCCTGACTTGTGCACGTTAACACGCTGCTTGACTTGATATTGCCAGCCCTGGGTCCTGCCACTGTCCTGCGCAGAACACCCACTTCGACTTGCCTCCCAAGAAACAGGCCGGCTTTTATCGTGCTAGTCGAAACGGCAAGGCCGGGCCAATCACACTCTGCCAGAGCCTTGGGCAGGGGCATGTGCTGCAGCACGAGCCTGAGTGATGGCTCGCTGACAACCGAATCAAAAACAAATAGGCCGTCTTCGTCTGAGCTGTCGGCAGGCGCAGTGTCAACTACAGGAGAACCGGCTCTCACTGGTGCCTTCCGATGAGATGAGTCAAGATGACTCAGGTTGAGTCAACATGACATTGAACACGTGGGACGCTGCGGAATGCTCATTGCTGCTGGCCCGCCGGCTCTGGAGAGCTCGCGGGCTTCACGGCCTGGCCTTTCGAGTCCTCGCTCATGTGTCCGATCTCCCATACAAGCAAGGGAGCACTGGCGTGTCACACACAGACAGCAACTTGGGCAGTACTGGGCACTGCCATGCGGCGCTCTAGCAAAACAGCATCTTTCGCAAATTCATGGGATTTGAGGTCCTCGGCCGGATCCTGCTTTGGGATTTCCGCTTCCGAGTCTTCCACACTGTCCTCGGACGGCTGCGCTGTGCTTATCCTTTCGGAGACTGTGCAAGTCCAGGCCTCCTCCTGTTCCTCACGCGAGTTTTCAAGGTCCTCTTTGCCCTGCCCCGCAAGCTCGCTGGGTGAATGAGCTGAAATGCAGTGAACAAGCGGCATCTGTGCCTGAGAAGAGCTCCATTCCCTGGGTCAGGGGTGTTCGGGCAGTGAGTCCATGGCGGGATACAGTAGCAAGCCAAAAGTAGCGCAGAAAACTGTAGTGCATGGACATGAGCAATGCAAACTGCGGGAACAAGTACGATATCGACGTCGAGATGTCGCAGCCACCGCTCATGACGAAAGGGAAACGGACACCGAAACAGACCTTACAAGTACGGCCCTGAGAGCGTAGCTTCAGGGCTTCGTTTACGCCACGGCGGAGCCGGAAGGATGAGCTCTCCTCAAGGCCTGTCACAAGTGCGGAGATTGCCCATTTCTGTTGGCATGAGTCCCAGCTGACCCAGGATGAACTGCAGAAGAGCTGTGAGAAGTTGCTCGAGGAAGGCAGCAACAGCAGCAAGGTTCAGATCCGAGCTTCTTGAAAGCCGGCAGGCCAGAGCCGCCATGCAGAACAGTACCACGAATGCCAGAACAATTCGGAATGCCGGATCAACAACTAGGCAACTGGTTTCATAAGATGTTTTGGCTTCGACAACTCTGTATCACTCTTGCATCAACCACCTGCCTGGACAGTCTGCCCACGCCTCAGCATTTTGCTCGGCAGCTTCAAAATTGAATGTTGAAGCCGACAGGCCCTCAGCCCTTGCCCGGAATCATCTGCTGAGCTTCAGGCAGGGTTTTGCCAGAAGCCGAGGAGGCCCAGTGAGAAAACAGCAAGAAAGGAGCCAATGTTGTACTTCACCTCATGACATCAAGACGGCAGGTAGGCGTTAGTTGCGAATGCTGTCGGTCGAAATCTGGCCCTGAGCTGTGTCTGGTGTCGGGGCGCGCAGAGACGGACCGGTTCACCAAGAATCCAGACTGTGATCCTTCTCAGTAATGGATTTCGACTCCAGCGTGCTAAAATTTTGGACGTCGAGGTGGCGCTCGTACCTCTTTGCCTCGTTCTTTCTTTCTGTCTCGTGGGTCTGAGACCCTTCGAGCTAGAATTGGGCCAAGGCACCCACGGCAACGCCAGGATGATACTCTCCACAAGAGGGCATCAAGCGGGTACCACACTGCCCCTAAGCCCCTATCCTAGTAGCTTCCGCCTCCCGCCTTCTCTCTCGAAAACATCCCTCTGTGACTTCTTCTCTCACTGAACTGTTAACTCGTTCAGCTTGGGGCCAGTTTCGATCGTGCCTGGAAGTATTTGCATTTTCACTCCTTCCAGGTACGCGCAGCGAATCGGAAAGCCTTTTCATGAAGGGACACGCTTCATTTGCCGCAAGACTGCTTGTTGGTGAGTCGCGCCGGGTTCTAGTTCGTGCACCTTGACCTTGCCTGAGATCTTGACATGGCATGCGAGCGAACATTCAGACTTGTCGTGAAGGAAAACGGCCAGCCTCTTGCCAACAACAACAACCGTACGAGCTCCCAAATTGAATCGCCCCGGTCTCCAAGCACCAGGCACAGGCCACAGGCAAGCGCCAGTCGTTCTTCTTGGCCTGGATCATGAATGAAAGCTAAACGAGTTTGCTTGGCTCCGATGTAGCACAGTGAAAGCTTTCGTGACAGCATAGAGGAGGTATGAGTGAAGACATCATCATCCCAGTCCCGGGCCATGTCTCATGCTCATGGGCCATGTCGAAACAGGCATGGTGAGCAAGATGGGGGTTCTGCTTCGGCTCTGTGTGTGTGTGTGTATGTGTGTCGAGATCTGTCCGTCTGTGTGTCTGCTGTCTTCTGCAAGCAGCTCATGGGCCAAGGCGTCATCGCTAGTATTCCGTTTTTGCATTTTCAGACAGGGCTTTCTGCCTACATGTGATCAGAACTTGAGCAAACAAGCACCGTTTCGTCGGTTCTTCCATTTGCCTCACGACTAATAGCAAGGTCAGGTAGTCACACTAGACTCTTGGAAGCAAATGCTTAACTCGGCAATGAGGCCATGGCACCACGGCCTTGCACCTCGACGGCCCAGGGCCATACCGATCATGGCATGTCATTTGAGTGTTTGTTTGCCTTGCTGGAACCGTTGCCCAAGTGACGCAATCTCTCGTCGCTCGGGAATGGCTCGCGGAACTGGCTGTCCTCGCCCCTCCCCAACCCCCGCTGGTGACACCGGCTGAAGATCTGCGCTCGTCTTTGACGATTTTGCACATCGAGTGTGAATGTATCTGGAAACCACAAACGCGACACACACACACACACACACATGCCCCCATCCCCTGATGACCCGCTCAGACAATGAATTCCTGTTATTGTCGTCATCCGAGCGGCTGAGCGTTTCACACGGAAGGCCGTAGTCGAACTTCGGGAAGCTGTGAGGCTTGAGTGCTCGGGCGCATGTGTCTCTGTGTTAGTGTTGCTGCTGTTCTGCCGTAGCTCAACAACATCACCTCCAAAATGCAGTGCAATCTGACGGTCTGCTGCTCGCTCAAGAAAGCTGTTGCAGTCGCTAACTTTTTTGCATGCGCAGCACCTGCAGTCTTCCCAAACAGTCTTTCTGCGCGGAGCCAGGGATTGGATGAGATGTCAGGATTTGAGGGTTCGGCCAAGCTTCCTACACTAGACAAAAACAGTCTCGATGTATTTTATCCCTGGCACCGGGGGGCTGAAGGCTGCAAACATCCGCTCTCTTCAGCTGCGACTGATGCCCAGGAAAGTGCACTCGGAGCATGGAGCATGTTGCATCAATGTGCGGCCTTCGATGCCACCCAAGCAGGGTTCAAACCCGGGCTGTTCAGAGTCATGAGTCGTCCAGTCGATATGATTCGTCGGGTCGACTAGTATTGGACGTCTCACTCGATAACTTCGTACAGCCAACCGGGCTAGCAAAACTGAGCACAACAAGCATCTACCGCTGCACATGCAGAGAAGCGAGGGGGCTTGGTTGTAAACGCTGCGAGCTTCCAGAACCTTCAATTTGCAATCACGCAAACCGCTTCTCCAAGCGATGGCACCTGCAGTCTCGCCTCACCAAGCTTGCCTTGCCCACTCACTCAATGACTCAAGCTTTCAACCTCCAGCCGAGGCACTACATCATCTCAAAACGAGTCCAGATTTTTGCTGGGGCACATCGAAGCATCAGCTCGCGGTCTTCTCGCTCATCCTCGGCACGAGCAAGCGAGTTTTCGTCTGGTAGCTTCGACTCGTGACACAGGCCCACAACACGCAACCAGCACACCCAGCAACACACCACCAGACTTCTGGTGGGAGAAACAGTCTGAGAGTAATTTTGAAGACGCAACATGACGCAGCTTGAGTGACACAGGTGGTCACGAATGCTATGACCGCTGCTTGAAAATATTCGGCGCCGCACCCGGCACCATCTCTTCGGGTGGGGATTCGTGAATTCACGCAAAATCTTCCTGCCATCTTTGTAACAGGAGATTTTTGAGCAAGATGCAAAGCGTGCACATCTGCAAGCAGCTCGCGAACGTAATCAAAGACTCGGTAGTACTCAATCCAACTGCCAGGCTCGTGACCTGCATTAGCAATCTACAGCAAACCCCAGAAAGTTGGAACATGGGTTTGGGAGGATTAGTGCCAGAATCCCTTCTACTTTACCTTAAGGGCATGAGGATAGTGATGTTCCAACTTTCTGGCCTCTACTGTAAGCTGTTTTGCTGAGCGCCTGCTTGAAAATAACGCTTGAAGCCTGTCAGTGCTTCGCTTGCAATACAAGGGATTCTGCCTGCGGCCGTTCGACTGCATGAGGACTTGGCTGCGATTTGTCTGCAGTACCCGGGGACATTGGAGTCAAGTGCAATAAGATGCATCGGGCCGTCTCGTTCTCTCAATGGCCAGCGCCTGGAGCAGATCTGACTGCAGTGGTACTGCGGAGAGGCAAAGCCACAAGGCAGCAGAGGACTCCGTTGACTACAAGACGAGCCGGCAACGCCGCCTTTCAGCGCCGCCACCTCCGATCCGGCCAAAGAGCAGAGTCCCAAAGACGCGACAGCCACGGGGGAGGGTGGTGGACGAGTTGCTTTCTATCTCTGCCGCAGGTATGGCGGACCAAACGCAATGCTCTGGACATGTCTGACTCCCCTGAAGACTTGCAACAGTCTGATCTTGTCTTTGCATACAGGTTTGGGCGGGAAAGCGCCTCCTTCTGCAACGCCATGACCGCGAGCTTCAAGTGGCTTGGCTTGCACTTCAACTCGTCAATGAAGATGTAAGCCTCAAGACGGCTACTCCAAGGCTAAGGATCTGAAGGCTTTTTCGATGTTACATGCAAGGCAACGACACGCGGCTGCTACAGTAGGGCCTGCCAAGTTAAAAACATCAGATCAACCCGGCCCCTCGCTTTGGCAGTGGGCGGTTGCTCTTGTTCTTCACCGGCAATTGTGTTTCCACTTATTTTTCCACACCTGGCACCATTGCAGACACCAGGTCTGCCAGCGTCATTTGTCCAACATTTGGTGTCTGTGGTGCTGTCGAACATGTTTCGAAAAACAGTCAAACGTCCCAACTGCTAGCTCGTCAGGGGTTCATCCACCTTCCACCTGCGCATTGACGGGCTTGCTTGTTCCGGTGCCGTTGCTTGATGCGCATCTCTTGCGGTGAGTCAATCTACTCACCGTCCTCTCATGAATCCCACGCTTGAACACTCCCGCTGAATTGCTGCCCCCCGTGATGTACCACCGTTCCTCATTGATTAGGTTTCGGCCAACAAGGAAATGAGCATGAGCAGCACAAAACAGGGAACTTCTGAACAAAAGCCAACCTTGCTAGCTCCCTTTCTGCCCGTGCTGCCTGCACTTGTTAGTAGTGAGGCTACACTATCCGTGGGCGGTCAAGCTACAACAACTGTACCATGCAAGCCCAGGATGGGTTAGTTCCGCAAGCTGTGTCAGCCAAGCTTCCATTGGCAGGACGATCACCAACAAATAGCAAAGCGGTTCTGCAATCCTGTCCGACAGTTCCGCTTCGAATCCACGCAAGCTCCGCGTCTGACAGAACCAACTACTTTTTGATGACTTCAGGCGCATAGCAAAACATATGAATCTGCAGAATGGGTGGCCTGTACGTCCAGGAACCTTAGTTTTTTGTATATACTTTGGGGCCGAGCTCTGCCCTTTGTGACTGCTACTCTCTGCTTCCATGTAGGCAGGTGGCCATACTTGTCCCGCATCTCATTACAGGAGTTAATCTCGTCAGGTCCGTAGCCCTCCGGGTTGAGCTTTTCATTGTCCATCATCATTGCGTCCACCTCGCAGCAAATCATGGTTGCCTACAAGTCTGCTGAGATGTCAGCCGGCTTATGTAGCAGTGTCGCTTCTGAGGGGCCAAAGTCTCCACCAAAGCACAAATTCTCACGCAGGTGTATGCACGGGTGCCGCTAGAGGTGCACGCAGCTCCCACACCAAAGGCCTGAAGGCTGTGCCTTCCCTGAACTAGGCGAACTCCTTCTCCGGTTCAGAGGCCCCAAAAGCTTGACACGAAACTGTAAAGCTTTTCATTGCCTGGTCCGAACAAAGCCCTGTGCTGAAACCATGTCTATGCTGCTCCGGCATCGGGGTGATCGCACGGTGCTCATTTCTTTGAGCCGGAAGACAGCATGGTAGTAGATCTTGCCAAGCTCCTCTCCATCCCAGTCGTCCTCGGTGAGGAAGCCTCAGTGACAAGCTGCCGATCTTGACCTGGAGTGACTGGCGACCCTTTCCTGCCTGTTTCGCCACCGATATCATCAAGGTTGTAAAGGAAGGTTACAGCCAACGCGTTGAACACGACATCCATTGGATTCTCCGACAACACGAAGGCAAAGTAGACGATCAAGCAGCACTCCTAGGCTTGCAAAGGCAGGCAGGGAGGATACCGATGTTGCATCCACCTTCCTTGAAGGAAGAGGCTTGAAGGCCAAGACTCGATCACAACGACACAGTTCAATACGCGACCAACATTGAGCCAGAAGAGGTTCACATCCTTCAGAAAGCCTGGCTTGTTCTTGATGGCCGGAGCATCCAACAATGCAGAGATCTTCCTGGGACAGAGATGGAAACACAAATCAGCCGAGGTATCATGCAAAAGTCGCTGGCCGCTGATGAATCATCCGATGACTGTCCTAGGAAACTCACGATATCTCGCGATACGAGGAGGCGAGCAGCAGGGATGCGATACGTTCGTTGTCCACGACCATCGCGCCGTTCAGGGTGAACATGATCAAGAAAGCTGTTGCGACAACGTGCTTCGAGAGATTCGACACCTAAGGCTTGCAGCATATTCCGAAAGCATGTGTTGCTGCACAAGGTCCTACCAAGCTCTGGGAAGATGATATGAGATATGGTACCCCGTGCTCGTCGCTGCTCGGAATGTAGTACCAGTCGGACAACCCGAAGTGCCAGCCTTCCCAATCCTCAGGCCAAGACCGGGACTTCAACCGGCTCTGGGGCTGATGCCCATGTCACACTCTGTGCTGCTCGGAGTCCAATTTGTAGAGATTGTAGATAATGCAGGCCGGTGGTGAAAGCACTTGCACCAACAAGATGGATAACCTTTGGCCGCAGTTGCTGCAGAAAGGAGGGTACTTACGTATAGGATAGGAAATCGTTCGCAGAAGCTGTACAAGGATGACAGATCCTGCACTGCGCCCTTGGCGCTCCTCTCTGCTTTGCCCGAACTCTGCCAAGGGGCACGCCGAAGTTCTGGGTCGTGAACCGGTGCTCTGGGATGCCAAGACCCCAAAAGCCTCGGTGCAAACGGCGCCGTGAGTATGAACTCCAGGGTTCGAAGTCAAACCATTCTCTTACCCAGAAATTCAACGTGGCATCACTCCCCCCCTTCCCACTGTAAGGACAAGTCGATTGATTTATCTTCCCCGTCAGGCTCTGCTAGGTGGAAGGATCCTGCCTGCAGATAAGCTTTAGTTGTGCTGCGGTGCAACCTGACGGCACGCAGAGTCGTTCCCTAATCAGTCGAACAGATAGGCTCATCCCCCTGACTGAATGGCTAAACATGTGTCTATCAAGAGGTGTACGTTCGATGTTACACCAGGCTTTGTCAATTGTGCTTCCATTGAACATCTCTTTTTATGGTGATGATGCTGGTAATGACTTTCCTGCTTGTGCTGTGCTTCTTGTCACAGCTGCACTCATTGCAGAAGATGTCAATACCTTTACTGCAACTGTGCTTGCGCCGAGACTTGCTCTGATTGTCCCGTTGATGCCATCCTGAGTCTTCTGAAATGCTGACGATAAAGGAAGGCACTCAGTTTCACCCTCTCGCACCATTCACCCAACCATATGATTTGCTTGTTTGCTTCTCCATTGACCGTGTTTTCAGTGTTGCCAGTGCCACGGGTTTCGAGCCGATGGCTCACAGGCTTACAGTGCTTCTGGGCAGCGGTAGGTGTTGCCAGCGATCGGGACAAAAGTATCTGCCTGCGGCGATTGCATCTTGGAGTGAGAGTGACTACTTCGCAAAAGGCCAGCAGAAGTCTACCGCAAGCACGTAGCCCGATGCTGAAACTTGTGCTTGCTCTTGGTTCCTCGCCTTCTTGTCCTCGGCCGAATACATCATCATCTCCCGGAAGTTGTCGGCGTACTCGAAGGTGCCCCCTATTTCTTCAGCTGGCTCTTCGCCATCTTCTGGAGGATCCTCACCCTCCTCTACGCTGATGTCCTGAGTTCCAACCTTCTCAACTAAGCTCAGCCGTCGGAAGTCTGCCGGCTGGCGCAGGGTGGCGAGGAATAGGGTGTGCGCAGGGAACATACGCACACACACACAGCCACAGGGCTCCCATGAGCTATTCTCGAGCAGTTTCGAGTTGTGATGGATGGCAAAACCCAAAAGAAACTTGCCATCAAGACTCCCTGGGCGAGTCTAGCAGCTGCTTCTCGTCGTCATTCGGCGCCATATGATGAGCTTCCGACATGAGCGGCCTCTTCGGGGCTGTTGGTGCAAAAAACATGAACTGCATTGGAATACTGGCCGAGTCAGGTCATTCACCACTCTGAAAATAATCAGCGCAAAACAGTGACGCCGAATCGTTGTTGTCTCGATTTGCAGATTCTCTGTCCGGCTCTGTCTGCGGTGCCATTTTCAGGGGTCGCACTCAGCAAAGGCGCGAAATAGAGGTTGGAGCATCGGGCATAGGTCAACTGATACGTGCTCTGCAGTTAGTCGGAACTGAATCTGCGGATGTCAGCTCTCATTCAACATGCATGGCCTTGAAGATACTTGACATTCCACATCGATGCTCTCAGTGTCGTCCTTCATATGCACAAAGAGAGTATGATGCAGGAGGCTCTGCAACTTGCATGCCACGGCCTTTGCATTTCGCAGTGCCGTCGCAAGCGCATACCGAGCCCACCTCCTCAATAGTCGGGGAGGCTGCTGCGCCACAAGACTTCGTGGCGAGGTCCGAAATCTTCACGGAAATACCAAAGCTGGCCCGTGGCCAGGCTAAAGGCCACCGAGGCACGGCCAAGGTTTCTGCTTGAAGCGCAGGGGCATGTTCTTGGTGAGGCGAAAAAGGAACAAAAGCTTGACAAATCGTCTTTTCACAAAGAGAAGCCAAAATGGAACAAGCTCCATGAGGCCCAGCCACTCAGATCTCGGCTCTGGGTGCTTCGGCTTGGATAAGTGGGCAATCGCTTTCCCTGAACCGTAAAAATGTTGCGGAGTGTGGCAGGCACTCACCTCGCAGCAAATGCGGTGGGAACTCTTTGTAGCTTTGTGGCAGGACCTATGACCGGCAAGCACCCAAACAAATGGCATGTCAGATCCCTGAAGGCATGTGCTAAGCTCCAAGCTTTTCATCTGCCACTGGCTTCTTCTCCTGGCTCTTCCATACCGGCACAGCGTCTGGAGGGCGGTGCCGGTCTGAAACACAAGCTTGCAGGCTCCGGCCACTTGAAGTTAACTGATGCGTGCTTGCGATGAGGAAAGCAGCTGGCGCCAGCATGCGTAAGTCCTCTTCGTCGGACTCGTCGTCGTCGGAAAGTTCATCCCACTTCGTATCATCCTGTCTCCAGTCATCTTGCTGGACTGCTTGTGAACTTTGACATCTTGCACGAAAAACCATTCAGGCATCCACGACATCATGTCGGGTACCGGCCTGTGCAAATCCTGTGTCCCCAAATCCGCCACCCACATCAAGGTCGCGGCGCTGAGGCCTCGCCCCCGACAGCACTTGAGATGAGCTACATGTACATAGCTTGCTTCATGACCATCTTGTTCTACGCGTTGCGAAGCCGCGAGCGCCGTCAAGCAGGCTGCAATCTACGACTGAGTGCCACATCTTGCGTTCAGTCTCGAGATGTCTCGAAGTGTTCCAAAAAAGACCAAGCGCTTGTTTGGGGCCGGCTCGGCAGGAGTCAGCACGAGCACAGCCACTTCCACGGGATTACAATTCGCTGAGCGTTCGGCTTGATGATCTCCGGCGCCTCTAGCGGCTCCTGACTCTTGCGAATACACACCGGTATGAACATGCTAGCAAGCAGCCCGTATCTTCGAGAAGAGCGTCTGGGGGCACACTACGAGTGCCCTCGCAAACAGGCCAAAGCATGAGGTGGTAGCGGACAGGCACCCTATGGCACCCTCCGCAACGTCGAAGGGCAGTCCCCATCTCAAGTGACGGCAACGCCGCACAGCGGACTTCCCAACAGCGATTTTCATGTGGCTGCAAGCGGGACCACTGTGCGCTCTGCGGAGCGCTTTGGATTTGCAAACACGGTCAGTAAGCACGCCGCTACTTAGGGTTGTCCCTAGGACTCTAGGATTGCCGCGATGGGCCGCACGTGGCCTGCCGGAGGCCCGCCGTCTGCCAGGCTTTCATCAAAGCTTCACCAGCCTTGTCCAGGTGGCAAGCGATGTCTTGATATCAAGTGCAGGCTGCCGGCTACCGAGACTGTTCTTCGGGGTTCAAAAATACTCTGGGCCATTTGATGTTGCTGCAATGACCAAGGGCCAAACTTCCAAACCGATGCAAATTAAGCTGCAACCGACAGCAGCTTGGACATGCAGCTGCAGCCTGCCTCAGCTGCTTGTGCTTCTGTGCACGCCACGGTCCATGCCTGCAGACGCTACACCTTGCCCGTTCTCTCTTTGAGTCCTCGAGCAATCTTAGCCACATGGCCTGTGTCGCGGTCAGGCATCGGAACAAAGAGAAAGGATCCTCAGCATGTGATGGAGGTCCGCAGGCTCTAGGTTTCGGCAAGCTGAGGTCTGCACGCTGGGCAAATCTTCGTACATGTATCCGCCTTGCTCAGCGACTGCCTTCAGGACCTCCAAAGAAGCTTCTGTGCAACTGTGCAGCACGCACGAATTGTGCACATGCCTCCAATGGCAAAAGATGCTTATCCTTGATGCAAAAGAAGTACGGTGGGTACCTCCGAGCAAACGTCACCAAACCGCTTTCCACTGTGCTCTCCGGCTCCCGACCGCTTCCACCCTTCCCCGCAAAACGCGTCTCAGGCACTCTGCACTCTTCAGTGACGACACGAACATGTCCGTGTCCTCGTGGTAGTGCACCCTGAGAGCAGTGCGCAAGATACTGAGATACCAGCTGGGTCAAAACACACGTCTGATAGACAGCTTGCGCATGCTTGAGCACCTCCAGCCCAAATTCTTGTCTACGACCTTCAAGAACGACCTCTGCAGCAATGACTGGGGCGTCTTTCTGTGCATGTTCTTTGCGGCCATTTGCAGCAGCAGCTGCGAAATAGCACCGGGTCTGCAGCTTCAGCGGATCAGTTACACGCAGCTTGCCTGCCTGCAAGCGGAGCTGAGCATCAACTCTGCTTGCAGTACGCTCAACGGCCCCGATTAAGGGCCTGAGCGGCCGAGAGCAGATGCAGGTCCTTAGGTCTTAGGTCTCTTAGGTATCTGGGGCTACCTGAACCCGAGGTAATTATCCACGTTATCCGGATGCTGAAACGAAATAGCATGAATCCTTCGTGCCAGAAATCGTTGGGTGAAGGTGACATCTCCTTGCGACATGACAGCACTGCTTGAGGCAGCGGCAACTGGAATCTCTTTCCTGGTCAAGACTACTAATGGATTTCTTCGTGCTTGGTATTCTCTCTCAACGTGTGTCTAGTGAATGGATGCCATAATGGCCAATCGCCACGGGGCAGTAACGGGCAAGCAAAACAGAATGCAAACGACAAGCCCCGCACAAAGGTGACATTGCGCACAAGGCGGCCATCTTCACTATGTCCTCTCACGGAGCAGGAACCCCGGCACCCATTCGACGAATGTCAAGGCCTCTCGAAGGATCTTCATGCAAAAGTCGCCGTGAGAACGCGCGCTCAGTAGTAGGGCACATAGCATAGGCTTCAGTAGATATTGATTACTTTGACTCATTATTGGACGGGTCCTCTGGCAGGCCAACTCCACGTGGGATCAGGAGCTGCTTCCGGGACTTGGCAGCAACAGCCACATTGAAACAGGAGTTTCTACATGTCCTTCTAGTCCAGCGGCACTCTGTTCCTTGCAACTAGCAACGAGGAACGCATGGTTCAACTCCCGGCACACTTCACTGTAAACCTTTGCTTTCGCACGGCCGCTACCCGCTGACGCTTGCAAACTCGAAAGCTCAGAAACATTTCTCCATGCCGATATCCCGAGGTCCCGTCCGGCTTTAGCACTTGCAGCGTCACCAACTGGCCTGCAACAAAAAGGAAGTTGCAAAGCCCACCCAAAGCGTAGCAAGGACACTTCCAGGTGATAGCAAACTTACTCGTGGATGCTCTTGGTCGCTGGCTCCGGCCCTCTGCATTCACCTGCAAGTATCACACGGGTCGTAGCTTTCGTGTGTACATGTGTATGTGTGTATATATATATATACATATATATATATATATGTGTGTGTGTGTGTATGTTGTTACACTACGTTACAGTACATTGGATTACATTACATGACGTCGCACCGCATGACATTACATCACACTTACACTACATTGCACTACGGTGCAGTAAAGTACAGTATAGCATGGTACTGTACACCCGGCCGTAATATATTGTCCTGCACTATGTTATATCAGATGACACTATACTATACTATGTCTTGTCATGCTATACTCTATAATATGTTGTACTATACTGTAATATACTATATGTATTACACCGCCAGATAGATCCCATAGATTTATTGTAAAAATATGTTGTTACATTCTGTTGTGTGATGTTATAGTATGTTATTTTTAAAGCCTTAAGTTTTACTATATTATGTTACTCTAGTCTATTCTACATTGTATTACATTTTTATTATAGTATAATACACTATACTGTATTCTACTATACTATACTGTACTGCACTATACCATATTCTACTATACTGTTCTATGCTATCCTATACCACAATACACCATGCTATGCTATGCTATGCTATGCTATGCTATGCTATGCTATGCTATGCTATGCTATGCTATGCTATGCTGTGCCATGCTATGCTATGCTATGCTATACTACACTAATTGTATTCTGTTCCATTCTAGTATATTCTACGCACATGGTACTGCAGCTGAGAAGTGGAAAGGTGATGGACAAGTTACACGAACTGCTGCATTGCCATGAGCCACACACCAGGCCAGGTAAGTTGCAATCCCACTCTGTGACCCACTGCCGTCTGGCTAGTAGTGACCCTCTCGGAGTGCAAACCTGGACTCGAACACTGTGCTGATCCCCGCGGATACTACTGGATACTGTTGGCATTGAAACATCGAAGGTCGGCCCCACAAAGTCGCGAGTCATTGCATGCAGCGACACGAAGTTTCCAGCCGCGTCACTAGTCCTTGCCCTCCGTAGGCCGCCGTGAGCTCTGGCTGGAAAGCCGAGAAGATCTAGCAAATGTGTGGAGGCAGCATGTCTGTCGGCTGCAGAACATACAAAGCGGAAGATGCTGAATGCTTCAGTTTTTTAACTCCGGCGGTGCATTGTCTCAGCCTCGCCTCCAACACGTTGGAGATTTGCTTCGTGAAGCTCATCTGATCTTTTGGCGACAGGAATTCGAGAAGCATCTCAGCCTGGATCAAGCACACCACAACATGGCTCAGGAAACACTTGCGTAAGATCGGAATCCTTCCATTTCCTGCCCGTCTCGTGTTCTTCAGCGAGCCCTATCGCAAGCCCATGTAATTTGGAAACCTCCCGAGCTCCTTATGAAGATCTTTTCACTTGGTGCTGGACCACTTCCGTCAGTTCGTACTGAGCGTATGCCTCCTCCTGCCCAGCGTTGCATTCGACTCGACTCGCGCACCACTCCACTAGTGCCGATGCCAGCGGTGTCGTTGGCTTTCAGCATGCTCCGACAACGGGCCAGCAGCCTCTAGTTTCGAATTCCTATCCATCCTGTACAGGAACAGTTTCGGCTCCAAACTTGAGGAGCTCCTGATCGCGGTAGTTTGGACCTCGTCGCTTGGTGATGTCAAAGAGGGTCTGGACCTGGAAATGCTCGAGAGCGAGTTCATGGCGGGGGCCGGGTTGCTGACACCAACATCCTGTCCCACCCGGCGGATGCCAACACCTCCTGAGCCACTGGCAGTGCCGACGCCATCATGGTCACCAGCGACGGCATAAGTGTAACTCCTGGATGCTCTTTGCGACTTTGTGGCCCCGAAAACATTATGAATTCGCTCTAGAGAGGTTGGAAGACAGGTAACCGGAGGATACCGGAGGTTCGAAAGGTTTCCGGGGTCCGTACTTCATTCCGCCGAAGGCACTCTCTGGCAGCTTGGCGCCCGTGGTGCCCGCACGTGCAGATGGGGCCGATGCGTCCTCCAAGCAAAACCAGTGGCACAAACACGAAAAACACACACGCACACACGCACGCGCGTTCAAAGATGCTTCAGTCTTCCATCTGTCGCACAGCAACATACAGAAAGGCCTCAGGCACCCCGACGCAATAGATGTTCGACGCATCCTGACACACGGAAGGGACAAAAGGGAGACGGGCGATCAATTCACCAGCCTCTTTGGTCCCGAGCTCGACGGCACGGCTAATGCTTGGTGCGTAGACGCAGTGTCCTAACCAATGCACGGTCGCAGAGTGCTGCGACACAACTGAACGTCAAAAGAAGCGGGCAGTGCAAGTAGAGGGCAGAAGCCCTTCGGACTGGCCTAGGGACTGATTTGTCCGTAGCTGAAGCGGCCCATCCCTCAAACGAGCAAAACAAATCGGATCGAAACTGGCCGCAGGCACAGTGGGTGTCGTTACAGATCGTTTGCCTCGGGGTGGCCAGGATGGCTTTCTCCCACCACTCCCGGAATCCATCAGCTGGCTCCTCAAGCACCCTAGACATCCCGAACGATGTGTAAACGAACAAGTCACCAAGCATGAAAGGCTTTGCGGGTCTCCTGTGTCTTCACTTCCAGCTGATCCGTCTTCCCGTCTCTCAAGAGTATGTCGAGCCTGCATTGCGCAGAGTTCAGGACGCTACAGCTGCAATCAGCCTCACAGCCAGCATCTTGACCCCACCCGGTGTCAGCAGGGTCTCTTCCGATGTTGAAGGCCTTTTGTGCCTGTGCATGATGCCAATGTATTTGATCATCAGGGCTCACTGTCACTAGATTTTGCGAAGTCGCAGCGCAACATGCTGCGGCCGTCCTCGTCTAAAGCAGCCTTGACCATCTCAGCGTTGTCTCCCACGGATGCATCAAACCTGCTCTTGCGCGAGCGTCAGTAAACAGAGGTGAAGCGCAAGGCCCTTAGGCTAGACAGCGTATTTCGCCAACTCAGGGCAGGGCTCCACCAACGACGCCTTGCTTGGACTGCCAACCGCTCTTTGGCTTTACTCTCCTCCTCTCTCCTCTTTGCCGTCTCCATTTGAAGCACCGTCAAAAAGCTGACAACGCGGCAGATGTGCACAGCTCGCCGTTGTTTGCCTGAGGACGTGAGACTTGATTCTCAGGCATGTGGGAAACGGGAGAGAAAAGTCTCGCGCCATGGCGGCCCAGCACGTACCACGTGCCACAGCTGGATGCGACCTGGGCTGAGCAGGCTAAGATCACCTCTGGTCTCGCGCAGTGCCTGAGTCTGAGCCCATCACACTGAAACGTTGTCCAAGCGAACCTTGTTCAAGCCGCTGACCTGCCACACAGGAATGCACGAATCGCGAGAGCTTTACCTTGGGCTTAAGGTGCGAGCGGGCCACATGCGGGCTTGTCCCCGCCCCTCCCCCCAGCCCGTCCTCACCGGCATGCTCCATGCGCAGGTTCCCCAACTCAAGAGCCTGGCGATCGACGAGGGGGCTTGGTGCTCAACTGCTTCAAGAAGCATGGACAAGCATCCGATGCCTTCAAAACAAGGCTCTTGAACATGTCCGAGGAACCTGGTTCGCAAGAACATGTCCATGATTGCGAGTGGTCAGGGCAGCCGGCCTGTGAACTGCAACCGGTCCACGTGCCTAAGGGCCTCGTGTAGAACCTCATGGCGAAACCAAGCAAAGGCATGCATTCGAAAGGGCGCTACAGTAATAGTTGCCGATGCACAGCAGGCAAGAACGTGCCTCTGCATGTTCCGAATCTTCTATTCACATATTTCACAGCTTTGATTGTTGGATTGTTTGCTGCGGGGCATCTGCAGTTTGAGTCTTGACACTGACCTGTCGCGTGAATGCATGCTTCTGCATCCAGAGCGGCCTCTGGATCAGCATCAGGAGTGATGCCAGGCAGAACCTTCTCAACCAGACACAAGCTCAGCTTGTCAGGACAACCCAACCGCCGGGAGCTTGCCTCCACAAGACCATCTGGCAAACCGCAACTGGCCAAGTCTAGCCTGGTGTGCAAAACGCGAAGGACGGCAGTTTGATTTGGAAGCTGCGGCCCGGGCTGTATTTCCCGAAAGTGCGGGAAGAACCGTGGCTGCACGATGAGGAGCACTCGGTAACCCTGCAGCATCAGAGGCCAGGCCCAGGGCGACTTCATTATTTATCCTTTCAGTAATTCAACTTTCCCTCCTTCCTTCCTTCCTTCCTTCCCTCCTTCCTTCCTGTGCTTCATCAGTCCTTCTTGTTTGGGTGGTTCCGGATGATGGAAGTAGGGAACTGCCAGTTCTTCCAGAGTGCCAGTCCAGCCTTGAGGAGCATGTGAAAGGTATCCTGCAGTGCAAACCACGAAATCTGCTGGTGAAAACAAGCGGCCAGACCTTCCAGCCGGTCCTTCAGGCCCAGGAGCGCGAAGTTAGAAGGCGGCATGACCAAGCAGTCTCGACCTCCATGAAGAGGATGCAGGAGATAGTGAAACTGTCTGCAACATGGGAGTAATAGAATTCTGGGCAACACATCGAAAATTTCTGGGATGGCCTTCACCCTCTCGGCTTACCTCGAACTGAAAGTCTGTCTTGGTCGCCTGGCAGCTTGGCTTTTGCAAGTGGTAACGATCAAAGCCCCGTGAAAGCCCAGAGTCAGATGCAGCTGACAGAGCGACACGCAGGGCATTCACCCGGAGGGGCCTGCAGCGTGGCCTGGTAGGCCTACAGGTCCGCAACGGAGCTTTCAGTTCTCCCCTCGAACGTGGCACTCCGGCACTCTCGCAATCTGGCCTTGAGAGATAGTCGCATCAAGGCGGCCACTTCTCCGAATTCGCCCTCGCTGTCACCTATGGCCTCCCCAAGGCCAAAGAGCAGCTGGCCATGCGATGGCAGACACATCAGCATGGCACCTTGGGTCCCCATGCTGTCAGTAGCGCCACATGGTCGCTAGCTTTGCCCACGAACTTGTCCTTGAGATACCTGGAATCTCGAAAGACAGCATGTGCAGTGACAGCACTGTCACCGGTCGCATCTTGATCTTGAGCCTTGCACTTGCTGCCCGAAGGTGCGCAGAAAATGCTTTTCTCATGCCAACACGCGACCAGTAGAACGCCTGTGTCGATTGCAGTCTCGCTCAATGCCCACCGAAGCATCCGAGATCCCAGGAGGGACAGTCAGGCCGTAAGGCTGTGTAAACACTGCCACGGCGACACCCGCAACCAGCACCACCGGCTGAGTTTGAGTCAGACCGGTTGGCTGAGCTCTCTGCGAAACCAGGCTCTCGAATTCTGCAGCTCATAAGGAAATGACCGCTGCATGGAACCCTGCAGCACTATTGTCTGCTGTCAGTGGTAGCAGCTCAACAGCACATGCCCTCACGATCGCGGCGGCCAGATGATGGACTCATAAAGTCCTACACGCAGCACGAGCTGGTCGAGTGGTCACAAACCACGAAATGCTAAAGGCTCTTCACTCAGCTGGTGACTTCGACAGTCTGTACCGAGCAAACGGGTGATTTCGGTGAGTTGGGACCCTGTCCGCCACTGTTGAGCCATAATCGCCGCCCTGGAAGATGGGGCCTGCGCCAGCCAATGCCGGATTTGCAGGCAACATGCGATGTATGGGTGCACTTCCATTACCACTCGTCGTTGACCTTTTTGCATCCGGGCTTGGAGAGTCGGCCGGGAAAGGTCAGGAAATTGCTGTGACTTGCATCTGATTGTTGGAGCAAGCATCTCAAGGGTTTAGGGCTTAGGGGTCGTTGACCTACACATCAAACCTCCACGAACAACTACAGGCGCAAGCACAGCACAATCCAGAAGGGAACGTCAACAGCCCATGAATTTGTAAACTCGGTCCGATCAGGCTGGGGGTTCTTGGACGACCGAATACGACCGATGTACCTTCACTAGGCAAAGGTGCGATCGGGTTTTCTACTTTTCCATAGTGGCCTCCTTCTGAGGTGAAGAGGCGGTCCGCAGCTTTGTCCTTCGGCTGTAAGGCCTAGTGACCTAGTGGCTTCATAGGGCTGTCATAGGGCTGTAGGTTGGGGATTGCAGCGGTGTCCAGGGCTGCGGGTTTCATCCCTGTGCTCGCAGGACGCGCCGCTCCAGTCTCGCTTCACAAGTGGCCTTCACTTACGTCCTGCTGTTGCTCTGTCAAGAAGTGCCCGTGACTAGAATTCGTGCTTCAGGCCTGCTTAGCTCAAGTGCAGCTGGGTCACCAGAACGCTGTCCGATATGGGCACCTTCGCCAAAGGGTCGTACTTGGCTGCATACTTTCCCTCAGTCGGTCACAAAGTCATACACTCCAAAGCACCCGAAGGAGCCTGAACAACAAGCATCCTTCTGCAGTTGTGGATAGAGGGCTGCTACAGGGACAAGTCCTATGATGGAGCTGACACAGTAACTATCCGAAGAGTCATGCCATGACTTCCGTTTTTTTGCGCGAGCGCTGTGAGGCCACACATGGACCAAAGAAGAGCTACTTCCCGAAGGGCCAGCTGCCCGCATCAAGTCACCTACTAGTAATGACAAACTGCCGTGCACCCGTACGCTGTGATCTCGATATTGGCTTGGCGAGTGGACGTATATTGGACTTTGATTTTTGTACATGTAGGCCTACTGGGCATCCCAGTAATGACCACTCTACTCACATGCTGTTACTGTAAGTGATTAGGCTCATCCGACTCGCACACCGTCCACCAACCTTTCTCAACCAGTCTTATGCCGGAGATGCCTACGGCATACGATTGTCTGAGCCTTGCACAAGTTCATTAACTCGACTCACATCACCGGTCCTCTATTTTTCGCACCATGCTGCTGGATGTTTCGGCCGAGTCACGAAAGGATCGAAGGCGTAAGCTTTTTTCCCGTGATCCTCCGCGTAGTCGTTGTAAAGATGCCAGGCCTGCGGAACCATGCAGTGCTGCATCGGCAAGGAGGTATTCATCAATCTGAAGGGGGCAAGCGCAGCTCTGAAGGCCCTGAAACCCTGAATGAACCCGTGGGGATGCTGATCCAGGGCACAAATGCTGCTGCCAGGAAATACACCACAGGAACCTTTGTTTTCACGTGCAAAGGATACCACTGCAACTCTGAGATGACAATGACCTTTTGAGAGCGCGACGCTTATGAGCAGCACCAGGCTCCAAACGTCAAACCTTTGCAAAGAAAACGGCAGCAAACACAGGCTCGCAGACTGGACCGACAATGACAAACCACAAGCAGACCGGCACATGTAGCCCTGGGATAATTTGCTGCCGGCCAAGTAGCGACAGCACTCCGGTGATTGCCTCAGCTTGTGCGTTCTGTCCCTCTACATCTCAGCATCACTCAAGGGCTACACTTATCTTCGTTCCAACAAATGCGCACCATCAATGTAGTTTTTCTTGTGTGATCATGTTAGCTGGTGCTACGAGTAGGTCATTTCGCATATCAACTACACGAATGCAGGACCAGCTTTCCCATCGAAGGCCGTTTACTCTCAGGCAAGGGTGCTGGAAGCAAGCTGGAGATACAGGTCATGAGCCCCTGGAAGAGACTGGCAGCTCCCCAGAGGCAGATATATGTGATATTCCTCAGCTGGTCAAGAAGTCCAAGTCCCAGATGCTCAAGCATTGCAGCTGGTCGTGTCTCCCAGATGCATGCAGAGGCTCATATCTTGATACCAAGCATAAAGCCCAATGAGTGCGGTCACAGCCATCCTGCGTTGAGGGTGCATCTCTTCGCAGCACTGAGAGATGCCAAAGATTGTACGAATCTGAGGCTCTTGCATCACGGACGTCAGCAAAGCACCGCTCAGAATCAGCTGCCTGCAGCAACGCCGACTTCACAGATTCGTTCCAGGGCCGGCTTCCCGAAGACATCGCCGTCACCCAGGCTCTCAAACTCATGCGAACTGAATGTCAAGACTTCTTCCAAAAGCCCAGTGGCGCCACGGCTTGGCCCACTTGCGTAAGGATGATGAAGGCGAACCAATGCCGAGCACCCCTGTCCGATACGTGCGGGGAGGGGGTAGATTTGTCCGAAGTCAAGCCTGCTTTAGCACTCGCGCTGGAACGGGTCAGATGAGGTTTCGGAAGGGTAACTACAACAGCCGGTCGTATTGCTTCATTGGAAGAAGCACCTCGAAACCTCCACACGTCACAGCCGAACTGCGTGGCACCAAACTGTGTCAAAAGCATGCAGGACATGGAAGTTCTTCGGCATTTTTCAATACCTAGGGAGGATTCCATCTAGAATCCACAATGGTCGCTTTCACGCATACAGCGGATGACAACAAAAGTTTGATTCAGGTTTGCGCCGGAGCACTTGAGCCGTAGCCATCACTGAAAACAACCACCTATCCATATAAAATAGGACCTCGACTTACAACAACTGCGATTTCCGTAACAAAGTACTGGTGCACCATTCCTCCAGCGGTCAACTTTCACCGACTCTTCATCTGCATTTTCTATTCCCATCTTCCAGAGTTTTGTTTTGTTCCAGGCAGCCACATGTGAACCACACCTAGGACCTGGGTGCACACCGATTCTCTCCTTCCTGCTTAAAGCGTGGGCTTCGCGGTGAAAGACCGACGAGACCCATAAAACACTGCGAAACACTGCAGGTTTTATACCACGCTGCAGGATGGTTGTACGTGATGCCTCCGAGGACTCCCAACGGTTCTCTCGTTTTTGAAACCGGACTTGATGACTGCCAGCATTGCCTCGTCTGCCGTTCTTCCAACGGTTCTCTCGTGATTCTTCAATGCCCCTCAGCCTCATCGCAAAGGGTGTGTTTCTTCTTGTTGACGCAGGTCTAGAAGGAGTCATGATTCCAAGGGCATGGAAGCCCTGTGCTTGCGACACTCATGGATTTCTTGTGTGCAGGCCTGCAACAGCAGGGCGCCAGGTCTTCCTAATGTTCTCACAGATGGCGATGCCGCTACATGCAGCACGTGCGAGATCCAGTCTGGAGATTTCCCATAGATCTGAACTGAGCTGTTACATGTCCTGATTCGAACATTTGGACAAAAGGTGGAATTCTCTTCCTGCTGGGTAGAGCTGACAGCATCAAGATGCACGGTACTTGAAAGTCAACCCAAGTCCGTCAAGCGTTTCGTGCCCTCCGTTTGCACTTCTGCAAAAACGGTGGCACGCAACATTCGTTTAGGCACTCGTGGTGTGAGCAAAAAGATCGTTGGGTCCGATAACTCGACACCTTGAGCCTCCCGGTCTGTGGTGCGACTTACCAAGCAATCCCGAGGCAAAGAGACACCATCTGCAACACAACGTTCTCCGTCGCTTGCAATCTCGTCATCAAACACAGCCCATGGTGAATTGATCGATGGCAGCCTAACAGAAGACTCCACAAAAGACGACCCAAATATAGATTGCCTACATCTCCCTCTCTGACATTAATCTACCCGCGGGACTGCTCTGCCTGGCATATTCGGTGGCCGGGCCAACCTGAATAGGGATGCAGAACAGCCAGTTCCTTGGATGAGCATGAGTACTCCAGAAAGTGTTTGCCACGCCCAAAGGGAACTGAAACTCTTTGCTGCCTAGCCCAGCGGCTGGTTGATCTCTCCAGAGATGAGTCCTGTCTTTTGCGAGGCAAACAGGTGCCAGTCGCACGGACTATTTTTTTCGCAGAAGCTTCCACGGTGGTCATTTCAACCAGAGACACTGCGACTGTCCGTCAGAGGTTTTCTTTGTAGCCCAGCCAACGACGTCGGTCATGGCCTTTTCGACCTGCCACAAGAACAGAAAGGGACGATGTCTTGCACGCACGCTCGTGTCGCCGCGAGTGCAGAAGCCGTGCTGTTAGTGAGCAAGGAGGCAACCTGTCTTCAGCCACAGTCGGTACCTGATTGCAACAGGAATGATCGAAGGGTGGCCGACAAGCTGCAAACCTGAGTGCGAGACGATACCTGGTGGCGCTTCGTGAGCGCAGCAAGGTGAGTTTGAGCCTACGGCTGCCTGACTACTGTCGTCTGGGCATGCATTGAGCGTGAGGGACACATCAACCTGCACATCAACGACTCGGCCAAGGTCACACTTCCAGTACCTTTGCCAGCTCGTCTGCTTTCGGAACGGCCTGAAAGCAACAGGACACCCGTCCCGCGAGCTGCTGCCTACGCTCTTGAAGAGAACCTTCACAGCTCCCGCCGCTAGCCGCTAGACAAGGTGGACTGCAAGCAAGGTCAAGGATCTCACTGACCCGCCGGGTCAATACCCACCCGAAAGACGCAACATCCTGAGCCTTGCGGCATCTGACTTCCCGCAGGTGCTTCAAGCTGCTTGCTTTTTCAAGTCAGCAATGTCAGCGTGTCACTACAAAACTTCGTACCCAAGCCGCTTTTGCAAAGAACGATACTCTGCCAGAACGTCTTCTGGCACGACCGAAGCGAATGCTTCTTGGGTCTTTGCCAGACACTCGTGGTCGGTGGCGTGGCCTTCATCATTCTCTGGGTGGCGGTGCAGGTCTGCCCATTTCGCCGCCTCCTGCGCCTGCTCCATTTCATCGTTCGAGATGAGGTCGCCGACTAGGCCATCCAACCACTCTTTCACTTCCTGATCAAACATCTCAGACGAAGAAGTTGCTTTCTCGTAGTGTAAAAACTTATTGTCGTCCTGCTCGTACAAATCGGTCATGTTTGTCACATACTGGAGCATTCGCTCTGCGACAAAGGGGATCCCTTCTTCCGGAGGCATGGTTTGCACGGAAACTTGGGGCCATCCCGGAGGAAAAAAGACTACGTTCAAGACCTCCGAGCCACTGGCATGGTAGCAGTAAGCAGAAATCGCCATGGTGACAGGGTTTCGAAGGAGTCCTGTGACTCGCAAGCCTTTTCCCTTCCCTTTCGCGCTGGCCCGCTCACGCTCGACGAGCTCTGGCGACATCATGTCAACATACCACCGGATTGGCGCATCTACATTCCGGCATAATGAGTAGCAAGGCGTGATGATGATACCCATCTCGTCATCATGAGCACCCAGGACGCCCTGGAACAAGTAGAACCAAATCTTGTGCAAAAGGTAGACACCAGACTTGTGGTGCACAGCACCAACGAAATCGAACACATCCCACGGCTTCCCGTTCCCCAACTTCTTTTTGTTGGTGGAACTCGACTCAGCGAAGCGTGCCTGTGCCTTCCTCTGCACGAGATGGGTTGCACAGTCTTCCTCAGCCTGTCTTGCCAACACAGGCACGGCTAGCAGCCATGGCAGGGTAACTAATATGGATCTCATGGATGCTCGCTTCCTGCCCTTCGACAGGAAATCTTGGCTCGGAGGGGATTCGAGCCTCGACGCTGCAGTGTGGGAAAACCAACCGCACGAACCACAGAATTAGAGGAAAAAGCGATGCTTCCATCCCGTTGTCCCAGCAGGTTCATACAATCAATCGGGACAGCCAGGCAAGCAAACTCACTGCAAACAGCATGAGTTCCTGCTCGTCAGCCACCGCAAAATCCTCTTTTCGAAACCCGAGAAAGGCATCCCGAACAACACATTCAATCTACACAAGTCCCGCAACAGCAGGGCACTTGAGGAAAGCATCCTCGTCAGGCTCTCACATATTCACTCCAACTTCACCGGCGCATGCCATGCTATGCAGTTGCGTACCCTAGCCGCTGCTGGTACGAGCGGTACCGTGATAGCAGGTCTGGTGGGAGTGTGGGCACATATTGCCGTACTTCTTCCTCACAGGCGTCGTCATTGCCGTGGTCATCTGCACGTGGGTGGCGATGCAGGTCCGCCCACTGCGTCGCATTGAAGACATTGCGGCGCTCTTCCTTGTCTATCTCGTCCCCAAACATAAAGTCAATCATCAGGCCCACCTGTTGGTCGAAAGTCTCGGAAGAGCCTACGACTTTCTCGTAGTCGAGGCGGAAGGTGTCGTTGGATTGGTGCTCGAAGACGCTCGTCAGGTTTTCCATCATTGGTAGCATCCGCTCCGCGACGAATTTGAGTCCTTCTTTGGGACCCAGAAGCAACAGCAGTCTCGCTGGAAAAAAGAAGAAATTGTTCATCTCCTTTCCGCGATGGTGATAGCAATATGCAGAGGCAATCATGGAAATGGGATCTCGCACAATTCCCACGACACGGAGGCCCTTCTTTCCTGCAGCTTCCCGTGTTCTTTGAGCTTCTTCCGCGGAGTACATGTCTACCCAGAATTGGATTGGTGCCTCTGGTGTGTGGCAAGCCTCAGGGGTGTAACAGGGTTGCATCCACATTCCCATATCGCTTTTCTTTGCTCCAAGGGCCATAAAGCTCAAAATCCACAGCTCACTCAAGAGATAGACACCAGCCTTATGGTGGCAGAAGCCCATGTAGTTGTGGAGGTGCCAAGGTTTAGACTTCTGATTACGGCTGGCGGAAAGCATCGGTAGTTCAGCAAATCGTGGAAGTACTTTTCTTTGCACGAAGTTCATTGCGATGGACTCCTCGGCGGCCGCCGCGGCCGCATTGTAATTGCCTTCGACTCGCTGAGCCAGCAGCAGCCATCCAAGAGTCGCTATCATGGCTCCTGGGGCCGCCTAGGGCCGCCTAGGGCCTAGGAGCCTCACAGGAACACAACATGGATTCAAGGCCAGTGGGGTTCTCTGAGCCTGAAATTGCAGGGCGGAGAAGCCAGGGACAGAAGCTGCAACACTTGATCGGCAACTAATGCTCAGGGCCACAAGCCCATCAAAACCTGGTCTGCGTGGGTCGACGGCGCTGGCATCTTGAGCTTCCGGCCAAATTCTGTTCTCGCCTGGTGGCGATTAGCCTGCCCGACTGGACAATGAATAGCCCCAGAAAACTCTGTTGCCGTTTCCCCTGAACCAAGCACCAAGACGGCAGTGAACTTCTGGGGTGACTCCCTGTTACACCAGGAGGAAGATCCTGCTCTGGTTTCGCGTGCGATGCATCGGACCATGTGCGAGGATCGAGGGACAGTACAGTGGAGTATCCGCATCGGCTTCCGGGCATTCCTTCCGTAGTTGACACTCACTCAACCCCCGAACTTCTCTGGTCCGATCCAGGCTTGACTCCCGAATCTTGAGCTTCGCTCCCGCAAGTTCTTGCAATGATCCCACTTTCGCGACCCGAGGCTATCTCAGCTACTGAAGAGCCATTCAGAATGATCCCGGCAGGGAAGGTAATTCGAGCCCGAGGATTCCCGGACTACTGCCACGAATGAGTGCCTATCTGGACAGAAATCGAACTGCCCAATTCAGGCTCGAGCTGCAACTGGATCGGGCCGCTGCTTGCCATAAGCTGATAAATATTCCGTGTATACCGTAATGTACGGTAAGATGCTGTAATCTACTATAATTGGTTCACTGTAATGACTATCATACACTTGATATACTATAACGGTCCATAATCTACCATGGGATCCCGATGAGCAAGCCCATCTTCACTCGGTCGCCTGCTAACATCATCGACCTGAGATTCCAGCGACTTGGCCCTCATGGCCCCCAGGATTTTAGGGCTTTGGCCTTAAGGGCAGCACACTTACAGTAGGGGCCACGAGGGGATAGCGCTTCCACCAGTGATTTTTCAGACCACTCTGGAGGCAAAATGAAAGCAGGCACTGCTCCCCTACAGGTCTTGCGCGTCGGGTCAGCTAGTCTGCCAGGGCTGTTTGGATTGCCTACATACTGGCCATCATGAATCTGAGCCCTTCCTTTCTCATACTCTAAGCTTCTAGAATCCGGTGACCGTGGCAGCGCCAGGAAATCTTCGGAGGCCGAGGGAGTGGTTCGCAGAGATCAAGCATCAAGTCAGTTTCAACACGAGGCCCATTGGCCGAGGTCTCGAGATGGTTCATGCTCTTCGATGTCTTGAGTGCTCAGCCCGCGCTTTCGCATGTATTGATCCAGGTTCCGCTAGCCATGTTGGTCTAAAATCCCTTCCTGCAAGCGCATGCGTCCTCGATCTCAAAACTTTGAAAGCTCACTGGGAGAAGGGAGATCCACCGTAATTAGCAGCTGCTCGCATTTAAACGGCCAGCTCCAAACCAATGCAAGGGGCGGTGGGCAGCGCCACAGAAACCTGACGTTCTGCCGCAGCGCCACCGGGACCCGTCGGCGTCCGGAAGGTCTGGGAAAAGGCCAGAAACAGCAAATGCAAGTAACTTCCCACACTATCCCGATCCTATCCGGTTCGCAAAACTTTGGGCTCCCAGCCACCCTCCTTCTCTCTGCAGGCAAAGCTTCGCCCAGGAGCATGACCTGTTGATGCTTGGTCATACCCTCAACCACGCTCCCATGACAAAACGGCAATGATGGGTCCTCCATCTCCTCTTCTGCAGCACGCAGTTCATGACCTGAATGGGTGCGATGAACAGAGGTTCTCGCACTCAGACTGGAAGTAGCTTTGTAATGCGCCTTCTCTAAAGATCTCGCCACCATGGCCCTACCTACGACCAGCTCTTGACCGAACCCCTGCTCTGCAACGGTTGCAGGAGTAGAGTCTCACGCACCGCACGACGGACCCAAACCCTCCAGTCAGCGAGCGCTCTGAGATCAACGCTGAGTCTCTCTAAGGTCGCTGGCCGATCGACCGGCCTTCAAAGGACGTGGCGCAAAGCTGTCCCGTCTCAGCTCAGCTCGGCTCGGACTACGGAAGCTGTTACATACCTCTGTAGGTCCGTTCATAAGGCCTCGCTCTCATCTCGCAGAATCTCCGATGGTGGACCGTAGGGTTACGGCAAGGGCCAGTGCCATATCTTCTTTCCATTTATACCTGGAAACCCCGAGACTCATCTGAGGCGACGACGCGTCTGCCTCGGAAACCACTTCGGAGGTCGCCTTGAAAACGCTACGATGCAGGGTTTATAGTGTTGAAGGGTTCAGGGCTTCGTGGCTTTGTGGTTCTCGTTGCACTGGAAGCTGGTCGAATTGGAGGAGACACCCAAGCAACTTATTGCACCTGGCGCCGCTCTGCTGAGCCTTCGCTTGTGCTCTGGTGTGCACTGGCTACAAACGAAAAACAAAGCTCGGCTCATCTCGGCTCGTTACGATGCCCCAAGCAGCAACCAGACAAGCACTGTCATGGACGGAGTGCAGTGCAGTTCAACACCATGGCCACCCCCTTCTCAAGAAAACACACACACACACACACACACGCGCACGCACGCACGCACGCATGCAGGCAGGCAGGCAGGCAGACAAACAAGCACATGAACGCAGCGTCCCATCGAGCCTGTCAGCAGAAATGTCAAAATCTGTGCAAGCGTTCTTGGCATAAAAGGCTTCAGAGCTCTTCAGTAGCAGGCCCGGTTGAATTCGTGACGCTTCAAGCTCAAGGGATTCCGACTGCAATTTCTTCCCGAATGGTGGTGGGAATGCTGGGTTCTCACCACATATCCCTACTCATGCCGTATCAAGTTTACAGAAGACAGCGCAAACTTCCCGTAGCAATTCTTGAAATTTGCGCCGCCACGGTCTATGATGCTCTTGGGACGACTGTGATTTCGCTACCCTCGATCCCACTTGAAGGGTCAAAATCAACAAAAACAGGCGAAAAGGCGAAAAGCACCTCGTGGCTCTTCACCGCATCACGCAGGGCCCTCGCAGCCGCGCCTGGCAACGTGCGATGGTGCCACGTAGGCCACGTGTCGACTCGGAGGCATACTTGCAAAGGCAGCGCCCTTCAAACAAACCTTCTTGTCACAGCAAATCGCCGGCCTAGTGCGCTGGTAGTTGGTTTGGCAGCAGTGGCTGCAGAACGGTAACCTCGCGCTGAAGAACTTGCTGACATGGTCGGGGTTGCCGTCGGGACTTAGCCACTGCACCTCTTCTCTCCGCCTCATTGCGGTTCCAGTCTCAGTCTTCTAATCCCTCCTGTTTTCTATTTCGCACGTTCTCATGCCCAGTGTCAGCTCAGCGTTGACCGGAGTCGCAATTCCACCGAGCGCGGTCACAGATCAAAAAGGCGCCGCGGCAGCTCGCTTACTGTAATTGCACCCTTTCGTTCCGCGCGTTGGCACGCAGACGAGGAAACCAGTGTCGGTGCTTCTCGGGTCCAGTGGGCTGCCGCAACGACAAGCCAGAAACATCAGGTTCTCCAGGGTTTTCGCGTTGATTGCACAACTTTCACAGCTGCCAGCCGGAAGCATAGCAGCTGGACTTCGTCTGCTACTCGGCTCGCTTGTTTCTTCTCGGTCTACGGAGCTGCGCAAGCACGAGATTCGCCCATGTAGCCTTCATGCACTTGGCTGAGAGGCTCAGGAGGGGATAGGGCAACGTAGGACGCCAGCGAACCACCGCTGGAAAAGTCGGCGATGGCCAAGCTTTTGCACTTGCCTCAAGCCCAAACCATCTCTCCCTACAGCAGTTGGATCTGGTGGCCGAGTCCGCTGCAGACACCGCGGCCACTGCTACTAGTAGTGCGATGCAAGTTGCAAGTCCGTAAAGAGCTGCTCTGCAAGTTGCGGGGTCTCTCCTGGACCTTCTTCGACGTACCTGCAGTTCCGGCCCTCGCGGCCCTCGCCACATGAAATGCAGAGAGGCTTGCAAAAGCGCAGCCCAGGCACTTGTGTACAACATCCCGGGCAGTTCTATGACCCATCGTCAACAGGATGGGCAAATAGCATTTCAAGAAGCCGGCAGGATCAAGCTCGGCCAGCCAATCGATTACATGCGTCGTTGGGACCCTTTTCGGGATGTCCACTGTCTTCCCGAGGTGCTGAAGGGAAGCGGTGTCGGACGGCAAGTTGTTCCGAATTGCTGTGCGCAACAGCGGCAACCCTGCAGGGCCCTCGTGCATGTCACCGCTGCCCTGCTTCTGCCGCTCCTGCAGCAAATCACCCCAGTCTTTCCCATTCCAGCCCTTTCGCATGGACTGGCTAAACACAGCTCATGCATTTTGAGGCCGCGGCTGCAGCTAGAGCTCTTTGGGCTCGGAAAGTCCGGCCCGGCCTGGGCAACATGACCCACGATCATGCACAGTGTGGAAATCTCAACGCGGCCTCACGGATATCGTCCATCCGTCGAGATCCGACAGGTGCCTGGCAAAACCGAGGTTTTCTTACAAGGCGCCGAGTGCCCCATAGCTGATCCGACTTCCTCTTCGCGTTGGAAAATGCTGTCAATAATTGAACCCCATCCTATGAACAGCGACAAAGACGGAGCTGAACTCCGCTTCAAAACGTTCCCCCACTTGGTGGGGTCAGACGATTGGAATTGATTGTGGATGACCGTTTTTCTCGAACTGCCGGGCATTCAGAGGTGTTGCGGGTTGCGACTTTGGTTTTTTAAACTGTCTGTAGTGTTGTGGAAAACCGACAGGATCATCTCCACCCGCACAAGGCCTCTGCGTGGCGCGCAGGGCTGCTGCTTCAGAGGCAAACACCAGCTTGCCGATCCCCTGCGCTGACCGGCGGTTCCGTTGCTGTACAGGCGATGTGCGTTGATATTTGCTCGCCCACATCCCAAGATGCCCAATGTGGTTTGCGAACATTCAGACTCCTGGCAATGCCTCCCAAAAGAACTCAGTCAGATCCAATCCACCATCACAATTTCAAGTTGCACCGCTGAAACATGGATGCTGCTTCCTGCTTCCAAATGATCCAGCCTTGTGCTGTCCAGTCTTGCGATCATAGAAGACAGTGCAAGATACGATCTCCTTGCGAGCGACCGGGAGTTGAACTCAGGCAAACCAGACATTCTCTAGCCAAACCACACCTTCTCCTTGCAAGTAAGTTGCCCCACAATTCTCGAAGTGGTTCTTCAGGCTGATTTCGGTGGTGTTCCAACTGATGCTGTCAACCAACACCTCACAGGGAGATCCAGCCCTCCCTGCAGTATGTGCTGGTCTAGTAGCCAACTGTACGGGCGCAAGCAAAGCCATCAGACCACCTCAAAAGATGGTGCATCGCTGCCGCCTGTCAAGCTTGGGTTTGATCTTGGTTTCTGTTCGTCCAGCCTACGAAGGACTAGCTGCAGCGGGCCGAAAGTGTAGCGTCACGCAACGTCACTCTCACTGTGTCATGCCAGCACCGGCCGTTGGCCTCTGCGTGGAGGGATCGCCTCGAAGGGCCGCACGGAAATCGGCCGGCCGTCCAGAAAGGCGTCGCACAGCGAGAGGGCTTTGCTGGCTGCTGCGAGCGATGCGAAGGTCACTTTCCCAAAGCCTCCGACACGGGAGATGGTGTCCGCGGCTAGTGCACCAGGGAGGAATTGAAGGCCCTTATCTTAGACTCGTAATCCACTAGTCACGAAGAACGAGATCCGGGAGCCTCGCGAACGGCCTGTGCAGTGGTCCAGACAGACTTCCGCTGACACCACTACACCACAAGTGCCGAAAAAATCGTAAAGTCTCTCGTCGGTGGTTGCCCAGCAAAGTCCCGCCACAAACACGGACGGACACACCTTTGCAGATGGCTGTAGCGCGGCTCTGTCTCCTTTCAGATGCTCTTGAATTTCCTCCTCTGTGAATTCCCCAGCGAACTCCCTGCTCAAGTCGGCGATCGTGTAGGCTGTTGCTGACTTGCTGTCATGGCTGGACATCTTCTCCGGACCTCAAAATCAACCCCTCAGCAGGGGCACTGCATATCAGCTACGAGTACATGCTATATCCTGAAGAGCCAAAGAGATACGGGCACACAGGCTCACAACTCCGGTCCAAGGGTTAGCGTGTCTTGGCCGAACTTGCTGACCTGCCACCCTTTTGCCAAAGTCTGCAGGACTTGAAATGCACATGGCCTGGAAACGGCACATGCTGTCTGCAGAGAAGCCGCGGAAGTCCTGCAGCTACAAAACAGAAGAGTGCTCTTGCTTGACGCACAGTATATGCAAACCTGAACGGACGGCTGCGCAGGCAGCCAGCCCCACTCTGCGCCGCATCAGCCTGCAACAGCAGGGCTGAAGCAGGGTACTTCAACCGGCTCGAAATATCTCGAAATGCCCCGTGACCAAGTCAAGCCCGCAGATACTCGGCCTTGCTGGAACAAAGTATGCAGCGGCCTGAGCAAGGTCGAGCCAAAAGCTGCAGATGCCGACCATGCCGACATTTGGCATTGCAAGACCAATGGATGGCCCAACTCCAAGCCGTCTAGCTCCTGCCAAAATGGACGTTTTGGTTTCTGCATGGCGGCGGAACCGAATCTGTCGTGTCCGTGCTTCTCACTATGGGGAGAGATTTTCAGATTCGAAAGACTCGATGTCCTGCGGGTCGTCCACTTCGCTTAGCGAGTGGATCTTGATGACACAGAGTCACCAGCACCAGAAGCTATAGAGAATATGTACAAAGTCACGCGCAGCACTGCAGTAAAGCACTGCGGGGACAAAACCCGGTGTCAATCCAAAGTACTGCACAGTTAGAAACGCGTCTGACAAATTGCCTCCTCATGGCAGGAGTGGGTGCCTGCGCAGCGAAAACTGCTTGTCTTTCATCGCAGTGATTCACAGCCGCCATATTCAGCGTTTGAGCTTCCACAGTGGGGTATCTCGCGTGGTACAACTGGTGGGGTTAAGTCGCATCAGGGCACGTTTGGTCGCAGCATCCCCGTTGTCACGCGCCGATCCGCGTTTAGTCGCATCACCCGCGCTTAGTCACATCAGAAATATCGAAACCCCATGGGCACGCGGTCCGGATGTGGGTTGCAACACATGTAACAAAACGAATGAAATGGCCGCGTGCTGCAGGTATTCGTGCCTATTTTGCAGTCACCTCACCTCGTTTCATCACATCAGAAATGGCAAAACCGCAGTTGCACATGCTCCGGATGTGGGTGTCAACACACACAACAACATGAGGGCATGTGGAGCTGCTCCTGCTGAGCCGCTGTCTTGTCACGATATGATATAATCATACAAATGTCTCAGCTTGCGTTTCCGGTTCTAACGTGTGGGCTAGTACCTAGGCCTGCGCGACACCCACGCGAGCTTGTGCAAGCACCGCACGACCTCCAGTTATCACACATGCAGTCTACTTGGTTCTGGCCCTAAGTCGCCTCACGCCGTCGAAAGTCGCATTCGAGACACACATCCGCGGCATCACAACACATGAAAACCGGGCATCCCCCATCAAGACACTCGATTGCACAAGCACCCGTGCGAGACACAAGTGGTATCACGGAAATCAAAACCAGCCATTTTCCATGTAGACGCTGGATTTCGCAAGCA